TCTCCACAAAATACCACGTACGGGCGCACACGTACAGTGCAATTGAAACTTCGTGGCCCATCGCAGAAGTCGGTATTTTGTGGAAGAGCCACACTCAGGGGGCCAAAGAGCCGCATGTGGCTCGCGAGCCGCGATTTGCCGACCACTGGGCTAGACCAGAGCTGTCCCATAGAAACAGATGCAAGCCACACGTGTCATTTTCCGTTTCCTAGGAGCCACATGAAAGGAGAAAAAGAAACAGGTGGACTTAATTTTAATAATATATTTTACTTAACTACATATACCAAAATATTATCGTTTCGGCATGGTATCAACATAGAAAACACTGATGAGGTAGCTTACACTCTACTTTTATCCCAAGTCTAAATTGGGTGTGCGTTTCACACGTACAGCACATCTCAATCCGGACTTGCCGCGTTTAGAATGCTCAATAGCCACCTGCGGCTGGTGGCTACTGCAGGGGACAGCTCCGTGTTGACCAGGGGATGACAGCTTCGTGGAAGGTTAAAATTGCGGGCTGCTGAGTGATGGCATATCAGAATCATTGGGAGTGACAGCCACAGATGTCCTTGTTTTGATCATGTATAAAATGGGCTGCTGGGTGCCCAGGCCACCAAGGGATTTGCCCAGGTGGTAAAGCCAAGACCAGACTCTGCCCACTGGGTTCTCTAGTTATGAACTTCATGTGCCCCATGGCAGTGATGGAGCTGGGCCTTTTCCAAGGGAAACCACCTCAGCCCTGCCCCTGGTTGTGGGGACCCCACAGGCAGCAGGATATACCAGGGGGCACAGGTGGGCAGTCAGCACCCTGGATGCACTCTGAGAGGATGGGAAGCCCCTATCTAGTTTGATAATCTGGGGGAAGCAGCCCACCAACCCAGGAGTGCTTCCTGGAGGAGAGGGTTCAGATGTTTGGGAAAAGCTGGCTTGACGGGCTGTGAGCTGGAAGGCAGGGAGGGTGGTCACTGTAGAGTTTCCTGCCTGAGATAAGTGATCTCTGCTCTTCTCTCCCTCCCACTGCACGCCCTCCCTACCAAGGTCACTGTCAGCTACTATGAGCAGGAGGGAAACAGCCCCATCGACCAGGCTGGGCTCTTCCTTACAGCTATCGGTGAGTTGACAAGGCTATGGCCTGGGAGCCTCATCCCTGGGCCTGGCATGCCGCCCTTCTCAGCAGCACGTGGGCTGCTGTCAATGCTGCAGACCTGGCACTGGGAGCTTCCTCTGAATAATGCAGGACCGAGGAGTGGTGCCCAGGCCCTTCTCTACTAGGGTGGGGGTGTTCTGCCAGCAACTCACCCCAATGTCAGGGTCCCTGTCCCAGGCTCTCTGGATCACGGGGGAGGAGAAGCCTGTTCCTTCCCCTGCCCCCTCCCCGGCAGCCTGGAGAAGGGCTTGCCTCTCATAGTGAGGGCGATGCCTGCCCACAGTCTGTGCTGTCCTTGACAATCTAGCTACTCCTTTACCCTCCCTGGACCCAGAAATGCAGCCTGGGTCCTTACCTCACCTCGTTCAAGCCCTTCATGTAACTCATGAGAGCAGTGAGGCCCAGAGAGGTTAGGGGACTCACTCATAGTCACACAGCAACTCAGTGGCAGGTTGAGTTCAGAACTCAGAATTGTTCCCTCCCAGGTTTTCCCCACTGCACAGCAATCCCCTGTCGTGGGTGGAGGCCAGCCTGGCTCAGCAAGGCCCAGAGGTGTGGTCTTCTGAACCTTCCGTCCTCCAACTCTTCTGCAGTTAGGATGTTAATTATATGTATTTTTAAATTTTTCAAATCATACACTGTGATTATATTTCAGGGCGTGATTTGCCCATCCAGCCTTGGTTTAACTGACAGGTGCTACATGGGGTGGGGCGGGGGGTTGGGGAGGGAACCGCCAGCTGTTGAGTGTTGACTACGTGCTGAGTACTTTAAGAGAGATACTGGTGTCTTCCGTTTAGTGAACACCTACTCTGTGTTCAGGACCGTGCTGGGGGCTTTGAGGAAGAGGAGGAGGAGAAACACCTGACATTTATTAAGCACCTACAGTGTGCCAGGCTCTAATACTTGATGCCTTACTGTCATGATCTTAGTGGTCTTACCACTGTTCCAAGGATAGACACTGCTGTTGTCCCCATTTCACAGATGAGAAAACCAAGGCTCTTGACAAGTAAAACAAACAAAAACTTGCCTGAGGCCACACACCTGGGAAGTGGTTTGTGAAAGCCAAGTCTTTTCCGTTACCTCGTATTCTCCAAGGGTCTTGAAACTCACCCCCCCCCGTACCTCCCCCCCGAAAAAAAAACACAGCTAGTTCCCAGGCCAGCCCCCCCTTCTCCAGCCTGTGCTTTTAGCTGCCAAAATAGGCTCAACGGCAGTGTCTTCTGCTTCTCAGCTTATTCCCAAAGGGCTTGGGTGCCGGTCACCCTGTCCCTCCTACACCGAAGGGGTGCCCAGCCTGGGGTGGGGTCCTCAGGACAACCTCAGGGTCCTAGAGAGACGGAAACTAGAGCTTACCAAGCTGCAGCTGAGGGCGGGCACAGGGGTGGACCTCGCATGCACGCATAGCCCCCAGGTTGTCTCGGATGACCGCCCCAAGGAAACCGAATCCCACAGAGATGGACACCTGAGGACGTAGGCAGGAGGGGCAGCGGCCGGAGGCCTGTGAAGTGAGGTGATCCCAGAGGCTGGCTGCAGCATTAACAAGACTTCATCCAAGCAAGGCAGACTCGGGATAGATGGCAGGACTTCCCCTCGCCCCAAAAGACGGCAAGGCTTGTGCTGACGCCCCAGAAGATACCAAACGCACCCAGGGAGGACGGCCAGGCTCGTCCTTCTGACATTCTGAGGTTGTGGTTTCACTGGGCAATTATTTTTGTTGTTGTTGTTAATCCTCACCCAAGGATATTTTTCCGTTGATTTTTAGAGTGGAAGGGAGGGGGAGAGACAGAGAGAGAAACATCGATGTGAGAGGGACACATCGATTGGTTGCCTCCCACACGCGCCCTGACCAGGGCCAGGAATGGAGCCTGCAACGGAGGTACGTGCCCTTGACCAGAATCGAACCCGGGACCCTTTAGTCCGCAGGCCGACGCTCTATCCACTGAGCCAACCCAGCCAGGGCACTGAGCAATTACTTATTTCACTGCCACAAGGTCCAGATATTTAGGTTCCACGGGCCAGTAAAATGCCCACCACCACCCCCACACACCAAAAATAAATAAATAAGACTGGCATCTTTGATGCTTGGCCCAAAAAAAGACATTAATAATTTGTCATCAATGATCACCATCATTTCAACATATGAACACCTGAAAAAAGGCAGGCATGATCTCAGCACAAAAGAGTCATTAGCATTGCAGCAATAAAGCTTTATGGGAAACGCACCTCACTGAACTGTTTCCTGTTCCGCCAGGGACCCTGGCGAGAATTTGGTCTCTCTGCCTTTCCAAGTCTTGTCTTCTCTCGAGCATCTACCCAGGGGTGCTTGAGCCCCACATCCTGAGTAATCACTCGGGGGCAGTACCTCAGAGGCAGGTACAACCCCAAGTGGTGGGGTTGTCTCCCAAGGGCATATCTGAGTCTGTCTCACCCCAGTTTTGTCCTGAGCAGAAAGAATTCTGGACCAGAGTAGACAAAACTAAGTCTCAGTACCGGCTCTGTCCCCTCCAGTCCATTGTGACCGTCACCCCTCTGGGCCTCAGTTTCCGCATCTGCAAAATGGGCTCGCAGTGCAGTCTCGCACATTGCTTGCAAGGATTCGGTGGGATGAGTGTGCAAAGGGCCTGGCATGGAGTAGGTGCTCAGGCGATGCTCTCTTTCCTTTCCCCCTTCCTCTTGGAGTGGCTACACCTTCTCTCTGCCCCGGTGAAGTTGAAGAACCTTACTGCCCTCAGTCTCCCTCTTGGCATTTGGGAGCAAACCCACAGTGCCCTTGGCCAAATCAGGTTCTAGGTCTTGGTCTCAGGCCTGCCAAGGACTTGCTGTGTGACCTTGACAAGTTGCCCACCTCCTCTAGGCCTCACATTTTTTAGGCTATAACCCCTTGTTGAGCCCTGGCCAGTGTGGCTCAGTTGGTTGGAGCATCGTCCCGTACACCAAAAGGTTAAAGGTTTGATTCCTGGTCAGGGCGCATACCTAAGTTGTGGGTTTGATCCCTCGTCCTCTGAGAGGCAACCAATTGATGTTTCTCTCTAACATTGATATTTCTCTCTCTCTCAAATCAATGAACATATCCCTGGTGAAAGTTTTTTTAAAAAGAGGGGTCTGAGCTCATTGATCCCTGAGGACCTTCGAGACTCCAGTTAGGACTGATTTACAAAACTCTCCTCTTGAGGGAGAAGGTGGGGGTGGGAGGAGAGAGGTCAGAGCCTCAACCTCGTTGCTGTTGTCCTGGCAACGGGAGCAGTACACCAACCAGAGCCTTGACAACTTTTAGCATCCACCTGAGGACCGCATTCCTCACGCCCCCTTCCCAGCGCCTAGGATGGCTGTGGGGGGCAGAGACCTCCTTCCCCACCACACCCCAGGCTGCCCGTGAGGGCAAGAAGGCCAGGCGCGCTGCTGCTGTCCGTGGGGCTGGCCGCCCACCAAAATGCCTGTGGCTCTGTGTCAGAGCTAAGGCTTCAGTGTCTAGATTCTCACTCAGGCAGACTGCCTAAAAGCCAATTTGGCATTTTCCGTTAATCTGCCCCACACCCCAGGCGCCACCTGACACCTTGGGGCTATTCCCAGGAGCTGAGGTAGGACTCGGAGCCTCTGGGGAATGTCTAAAGCCCCGAGACCCTCAGACACATGTCCTCGCCCTCCTCCCCAGGGAGGCATTGCCATCCCAGGCGGGCAGAGGTCACGCCAGCCCTGCTCTCCGACCCCACGAGGATCGTCCCCTTGGAATCTCGTTAAATTGGACACTGGGAGAAAGGTTGACGGGGAGAAGTCCTCCAGGGATGGCTTGTAGCTTGGAGGGGATCCCGAGGGAGGGGGGAGGGGCGAGAAGGCCATTGCAGTTGAATTTGGAGACGGCTCCTGGGTCATAAGACAGAAAATGCGCAGTGGGCGGTTGGAAGGTGGGTGGCATAGAAGCCCAATTACGTAATGGGTTGCATAACGGGAAGCCAGTGAAACCTCCCCGAGTTTCATAAGCCAAGAAAGAGCAATGAGCATCTTATTTAGTGTGTGGAGGCTGCTTCAGGCAGGTGCGGGGACGGGTCTGCCGGGGGACGGCTGTGTTTCTTTAGAGCAGCGGTTCTCAACCTGGGGGTCGAGACCCCTTTGGGGGTCGAACGACCCTTTCACAGGGGTCGCCTAAGACCATCGGAAAACACATATGTAATTCCATATTGTTTTAGTGATGAATCACTATGCTTTAATTATGTTCAATTTGTAACAATGAAAATACATCCTGCATATCAGATATTTACATGACGATTCATAACAGTAGCAAAATTATGAAGTAGCAATGAAAATAATTTTATGGTTGGGGGTCACCACAACATGAGGAACTGTATTAAAGGGTCGCGGCATTAGGAAGGTTGAGAACCGCTGCTTTAGAAGCTATTCGGGACTATTCGGTGTCTTGTGCGTGATGTGCACAGAGTCATAAAATTTTTCAGCGTAAGAAATCCTAACGAAGTAAAGCACAATGGAGTGCTTTATCCTGGATCTCCTGTGAGCCACTGCTCTCAGGGACACACCCAGGAGCCAGCTCCTCTGGGATGACCTTCAGGGGAGCAGGTCAGGTGTGGGAAGGCGGCCTTGACCTTGGGAGCAGCCCAGGGCGGAGGGCAGCCTGGATGCGTGGAGGGAACAGCCCAGGGCAGGGGTCTGCATCCAGAGGCCCGAGCGGGACGCCTGGCTCTGCACTCTCTGGGGACTTCCTGTCACTTCCCCGCTGCTGCCTCGGTTTCCTCATCTGTGTGGGCGGGCTCGCAGGGAGAGCGTGCATGGGAAGTGCCTGCTGCTGCCAGAGGGAACTGTACACCTGAGAGATTATTATCTTCAAAAGCAAAGAGAGTGACTCCTTCGGGAGGCGGTTCCCAGGGAGGAGTGTCTGTGGGGCGTGTCCAGCTGGAAAGTTCCTGAAGGTCCGGGAGCCAAAATCAATAGAGTTCCTCCACCTGAGCCTGCAGCCTCTCGGTCAGCAGCGGGTGGTTCTGGCTTTCCCGCTTTCTCCCTAAAGTCCTTAGCCTGCCCCAGCCTCCCAGATTTCTGGGTTTGCTCACCTGTAAAATGGGAACAATACTGTGCATCCCATAGGACGGGGACTCCTTGAGAGCAGGCCCTGTGCCCCGATGGCCCACCCCTAGGGCTCGGGACCCAATGTGGGGCCTCGGCCATAGCAGATGCTCACCAGTGACCTGCTGAGGGAATGGGGCCAGGAGGGAATATAACTGCCTTACAGTATCTAAGGGACAGGAGGGCTGCCGACTGGGGGCGCTGGAGTGCCCCTTTCCCAAGGACCAGGTGCCGTTAAAGCCGCCCCTCCCGCGGCCGCCTCCTCGCCCCAGAAAAGCCCCGTTCGAGGGTGGGAGGGAATCGAACTGTGAGCAAAGGGAAGACGTGAACGTAATCCCCAGACTCGGGGTGAGCCACCCGAGGAGGGCTGACATCAGTGCCCTTCCTGAGCCAGGACCCTCCGCCCCACCCAGGCCAGGGAGAGGCCATGCCTGCCAAGGGGACTCACCAGGAATCCATTCATTCCACCCAACTCCCATCACAGTCCAAGTCATGCCCAGCGTGAGGCTGAGCCCTCTGGGCAGTTCCCGGGCCTGGATCCGGCTCATCTCGTTCTGTGTGATGCTCCCATCACCTTCCCAACAATTCCCCTGCCCCGCCCTGCTAGTCCCTGATGCATTTTGCCTCGCAGGGACATTCAGCAATAGCTGAAGACATTCTGGTTGTCACGCTGGGGGCTGTCACTGACACCCAGGGCTCAGAGGCCAGGGAGACTGCTAAACATCCCCGTGCACAGAACAACCCTCCACACAGAAGTGTCCGACTCAAAATGTCCGTGGTGCCTACTATTGCAATTAGTGCAACTCCTCTGGCTGGAAAGGGCCCCATTCTGCAGGTAAAGAAGCTGGGGACCAGAGAGGCTGTTTAATCTGGCCAAAGTCACACAGCTTATAAGCAGAGAACCGAAGTTCGAACCCAGCACTGTCTGATGCTGCATCTTGGGTTCATGTCACTGCCCCACACAGGTTCCATGAAGCCTGTCCCCACAAAGGTCTGTTCCCCAAGAGAAAGGAGAAACAGGGACCCCTCCCGGGATCCTCTGACAGCCTGGCCTCTCGAGCACCCTCAGACTGAGAGGGTCAGAGACCCAGTTTCCCTCCCAAACTAAAGCCCTCAGTTCGTGGAGGTGGGATCTGGGCCGCTGAGAATTCTGGGAGAGATACACACGCTCAAACACACCTGTGCACACATGCCCTGGCCAGGCTGGGGAAGGCAGGGCGAGGATCCTATGACAGTTTTCAGACCAGCCGCAGCGGGTGCCCCAGGTCCGCTAGTGCCACTGTGTGACCCTGGGCAGGATCTGGCCTCTCCGAACCGAGGCTCCCAGGTCTGTGCAGTAAGGCTCACCGCACCCACCACCCAGAGTTGACTGGTGGGAGATCCAGACCTCGCTGACCGCACCTCTCGGAGCCGTAAGCAGGCAGCGGGTGTGAGGCAGGGGGTTGGATGAGATGGCCACAGCAAGGCCCTCTCCTTCCAAGGACCAAGCCAATGGTGAGCTACACCCTCATCCCACTGTCCCTGCCCCACCCCACCTGGCAGCTCAACAACTCACCCGTGTGTCTGTCCCCAGAGCTCTCCCTGGATGTGGACGCAGACCGGGACGGCGTGGTCGAGAAGAACAACCCAAAAAAGGTACCTCGCTGCCAGGGCAGACTCACTGGGGGCTTCCGGGGCAGAGCCCCACGTTGGTTTTTCTCTGTTACATCCTCTGGGTCCTAAAGCAGCCTGTCCTCCCAGGAAGCACAGGCAGCTCTCAGTCTTCCGAGGAGGAGACTGGGGCCTGAGACAGGCTCCCTGACACACCACACACCGTGACAGACACACCCCACACCATGAGAGACACACCGAACACCCCACAAACACACAGCACACCGTGACAGACACACCCCACACCATGAGAGACACACCAAACACGCCACAAACACACAGCACACAGTGACAGACACACTGCACACTGCGACAGACCACCACACTCTGAGACAGACCCACTGCACACTGCAACAGACCCACTGCACACAGTGACAGACCCACTGCACACAGTGACAGACCCACTGCACACTGCAACAGACCCACTGCACACAGTGACAGACACACTGCACACTGCGACAGACCCACTGAGCAGCCGCACTCCTGTGGGAACAGGCTCCCACGTCTCAGTTCCCCCACCCACAGGATGGGAGCCCAGTTCAGAGAGTTGTTGGAAAAATTAAATGTCCTGCCACAGAGGAAGTGCCACCAAAGTATTTGCTCTTATTATTTTGCTTTTCTTTTTTTTTTCAATCTGAGCGGGAGAGACCGCCAGGAGCAGAAGGCTGCATTAATACCCTCAGTTCAAGTTTAATGTTGCATGCACAACCCCTCTCCTGTTTACTTATTTATTCATTCATCCATCATTCATTCACTTTTCTTCCTATTCTGCTCTCCCACAAAGGACCATTCTAATGGCTTTACTGTGTCCCTTTCTGTTCTTATGATTCTGGCAAAACCTGTCAGCTGGCTGTTGTGCATGTATTTTTATTTTTTTATTTTTACATTTTTAATTTTTTTAAATATATTTTATTGATTGATTGTTTACAGAGAGGAAGGGAGAGGAATAGAGAGCCAGAAACATCGATGAGAGAGAAACATCGATCAGCTGCCTCCTGCACACCCCCCACTGGGGATGTGCCCGCAACCAAGGCACATGCCCCTGACCAGAATCGAACCTGGGACCCTTGAGTCTGCAGGCTGACGGTCTATCCACTGAGCCAAGCTGGTTAGGGCTGCGTGTATTTTTAACTTGTGCAAATGGCACTGTGTTCTTGACCTCACTCCGTTCCGTACTTTTGCCTCAACCCAGTTTTTTAAGCTCCATTGGTTTTTCTCTGTTACATCCTCTCATTATTTTCCACAACAATCTAAAGCCTGGTTGAAATTATACATCGGTGGATACTTTAAAAAGTTAACTGAATACCCCCACGACGAGACTAGGGACTAGCTGCTGGCCCCAGGTTCCCTGCTTGTTGCTGGGGGCGTGGGGGGCTCAAGCCTATTGGGGAACCCTTCTCCAGGCTCCTCAGGGGGGCTCTGCCTTCCCAAGGCAGCCGAGGCGGCCTCACTCACTCAGTCTCTGTGTCGGTGGCCAAGAGGTGACACTAGACTCCCCGGAGATCTCTGAGGCCTCCGGCCTGGCCCGAGGGCGGCAGCCTGGGTGAAGGCACGCGGTCCCTGTGGGCCTGAACTTACCAGGCTTTCTCCATGAGGGCCAGTGACGTCTCATATTTCATTTATCATTTCATAAATATTTGTTGAGCATATTTTACATTCCAGGGCTGGGTCAGGCCCTGGGGACATAGTTCCTGTCCTCGGGGAGCCCACAGGCCAGTGGAGGGGGCTGAGGGAGACCCACATTAAATACAGGATGGCGTGGTGGCTGTTTCATCACAACTGTCCTAAATCCACCCCCGGAAGGGCAGCTACAGTGTCTTAAGTGTAAACCCAGGGAGGCTGCTCTGGATGGAGAACCGTAAAGGCTTTCCGGGGAAGTGGGACCATCTTGCTGTGACTGGGAGGAGGAGTGGCGTCGGCCAGGTGAAGGGAGACGGGACAGCGTTCCAGGCAGAGGGACCAGCGCAGCGAAGGCTGAGAGCTTGGCGTCTTTGGGAAGCAGAACGGCAGCCAGTGTGGGGGAGCAGGGTGGGCGAGAAGGAAGGTGAGGGGCACAGATGGAGAGGTGGCAGGTCGCTCCGGGCCTTGCAGGCCACAGTGACTTTATCCTGAGTCAACAGGGATCCCTGACCCGGGTGGAAGCAGGAAAGCAGCCGGATCGGGGTGGAGTTCCTTCTAAACCATCTGGCTGCTGGGTAGAAAGTGGATCGCCTTGCAGGGCCCATTGGGGCACTCAGAGAGAGTCTGGAAGCACTGGACGTCTGTCCATCCGGGCGTCTTCCCCTGAGCCCCCTGGGCACTTCAGAGCCTATCGCAGAAGCTCTGCCTGCCCCTTTCTCTGGCCACCCTCCGTCTCCCTGCCCCACCCCTCTCTGGGCACAGGCCCACCCGACGTGAGGCTCAGGAGTGCCTCAGAGCCTTCCAGTCTCTGTCTCTCTCTGCCACCATCCGTCCACCTCCTGAACTTTCCGTCGGTGCTTACACAGACGTCTCTGGGCATCAGACGTGGGATTCAAGTTTGCCAGGTCGCAGCTGCCCCGATGGGGGGTGGCTGCTCTTTATTCTCCTCCTGGGCCGTCTCTCTGGAGTCCTGTGAGGCCTGGGCTGGGACTGTCTGCCAGAAGGTACAGAGGAGGGAACTGACCTCTCTCCCTGCCACTGCAGGCGTCCTGGACCTGGGGCCCCGAGGGCCAGGGAGCCATCCTGCTGGTGAACTGTGACCGGGAGGTGCCCTGGTTGTCCAAGGAGGACTGCAAGGACAACAAAGTCTACAGCAAGAACGGTACCGGCAGGACCCACACGTGGGGTTGGGGGCAGGGAGGAGCAATGGAGGCACAATGCTACGTCCTGGGCTGGGCGGAGGGTGCGGCAGGAGTGACCTGGGGCCTCCTGGGGGTGGAGGACTCAAACATCCACTCTCGCTAAAAACAGAAGACAAAGCTATTAATATAGTCCAATTGGAACCATGTTTTATAAAGAAGATTCACATACATAGAAAAAAGACTGGAAGGAAATTCCCCAAAGGTTATTGGTCGTCTGTGGAATTAGAGACGACAGCCGGTTTTTATGCTTTTCTATAGTTTCCATAGTACACACGTGTGGGGTTTTCTCCGTCCTGATTATAAAAGTAACGACAGCCCTTTGTAAGCCAGCATTGCAGCCCCAAGTGTCTTCATTCTAACCTCCTCGTGTGTCCACCCGTCAGACCTCAAGGACATGTCGCAGATGATCCTGCGGACCAAAGGGCCCGACCGCCTCCCCGCGGGATACGAGATCGTCCTCTACATTTCCATGGCGGACTCGGACAGAGTGGGCGTGTTCTACGTGGAGAGTGAGTGGCCCCGGCCCAGCCCTCGCGGTCCTGAGCCATTCAGTGCTCACCGAGCTCTGCCCTCGAAGGCTCCCAGGCCTCCCCTACGCAGTGGTGGCCCCCACAGGGGCAGGTGCTGCAGAGAGCCCCTGGCCTCTTAGTAAGCAGCTGGGCCTCTTAGGAGCAGAAACGATTACGAAGTTGTATTACTAGTAATGGTCATGGTTGTCCCGGGAAGTCAGGAGGCCCCCTGGCCAGATCTCCCCTCTTCAAAGGAGGTGGTCGTGCCGCAGGTTTAGGCAGAACCAGAGGCCCTTCTTCCCCATGAACCAAGGGAGGAAGGCCTTTGGAGGTCCTTTTCTGGGGTCATGTCACCTTCATGATACCTGAAGCAGGTACCCGCCCCCCCCAGGTGTGTTTTGCCCATCTCGGACTTCCTGGAGCTGAGCACTGCCTCCCAACTTTCATTATATATACTAGAGTCCCGGGCACGAGATTCGTGCATTCATGCACTGGGGGAAGGAGGGGGGTCTCTCAGCCCTGCCTGCGCCCTCTCGCAGTCCGCAGTCCCGGAGCCCTCAGGGGAGCCCTCAGGGAAGCAGGCCTAAGCCGGCAGTCGGACATCTGTAGCGCTGCCGCTGAGGTGGGAGCTTCCGCCACCGCTGCTGCTCTCAGCTCACCAACCATGAGCCCAGCTTCTGGCTGAGCGGTGCTCCCCCTGGTGGTCAGTGTGGGTCATAGCATCCGGTTGTTCCGCTGTTTGGTCGATTTGCACATTACCCTTTTATTATATAGGATTTTTTTTTTATTGCTTTCAGAGAGGTAGGGAGCAGGAGAGAGAATGGAAACATCAGTGATGAAAGAGAATCATTGACCGGCTGCCTCCTGCACACCCCACACTGGGGATCGAGCCCACAAGCGGGGCACGTGCCCTGACCAGGAATCGAACCATGACCTCCTGGTTCCTAGATCGACGCTCAACCACTGAGGCATGCCCACTGGGCATGCCTCTGACTTTTAAAGAGCCCCTGGTGCTGTTGTGGGCACCCTGAGGGGGCTGACCCCTTGCTCCTCTTGTCTGTGACAGGCACCCTGGGCCCCACTGTGTAGGGCACGTACCTCCGCCACAGAGCTCCCTGCTCTGACCCATTCTTTCTATAAGTGCGCGTTGAGCGCCCTCAGTGCAGGTGCTGTTCCCAGCACTGGGGTCCCCACAGTGAACTCTGCAATCACACGCTGCCCGCCCTGGGGAGGTCACAGTGAGGGAGACACAGGAACTAGCGTGATTAGAGGAAATGACACAGACCACGTGATAGAGAGTGCGCGGGGTAGAGGTAAGGTACCGCTAGCCTGAGCAGGTGACTGGGCTGAGGCCCAAACCAACAATGAGAAGGAAACAGCCCTTTATGAGCTGAGGGGAGAGTGTTCCAAGCACAGGGAACAGTACGGGCAAGGCGCAGAGGGGGAACCAGCCTGGAGGAGCAGAAGGAAGACCAGAGCGAGGAGATGTGTTGGAATCAAGGTCAGCGAACTGGGCAGGAGCCAGGGCATGCAGAGAAGGCTCAGCGTTTTCTCTGAGGGCAGTGGAAAGCCATTAGAGGGTTTTAAGCAAGGGACTGTCAAGATCTGATTTATGTGTTAAAATGCTCTGTAAGCAAAATAGTGAGCTTTGCAGTTTGCCATGGGTGCGGGGTAGGGCTTCCCCTGCGTGCCCAGCTGCCTGGAGACCCGGGATCTCTGGCCCAGCTCTGGGGCCCACCGCTGGACAAGCCCACTGCAGCCAGGGCAGTCACCTGGAGGAGTTGGGCACAGGGTTCTCTGGACCTTACCTCAGGGAGTGATTTGGCCAGGACAGCAATGGACAGCTGCCACCTGAAGCCAGTCATCCACTCTGGGCTTGAGCAATGACCTCATACAGGGTGGAATGTCCCCAGAGTCAGGCCGGCTCTGCAGCCCCAGGGGGCCAGATATATTGATGTTTACCCCAGCCAGGCCAGGGTTGCCACAGGCCAGGGTTGCCCCGGGGGGATGGGGCTGTGGGCAGGGGCTAGAGGGGTACAGGCAGGACCTTCACCTGGGTGTCTTGACCATGGCATTGAATTGTGACGCCTGGATGTTACCCAAAGGGCTCTTTTTACTGTTGGGAGTGGATTGAGGTCTGGCCCTGAATCACATCCCTCCCCCGCCCTCGCCACCCGAGATGGGTCCTGAGCAGACAAGACAGAGAGGAATCACTAGGCAAGCGCTTTGGATGCTTTGGACGCCGGTCCCCAGTCTGTGTCATCTGGGCTGGCGTCCTGCAGGGTTGGGGGGGGGGGTTTACAGAGACAGACAGCGATGATCCCAGAATAGTCTGTTTCCCACAAAATGTTCCGTCCTGGATGACTGCTCGGGGTCACGTGAAAGAACAGGATGGAAAATGGCCGTTCTGTGGCAGTTTCCTTTTCTCCCTTTTCTTCTGTGCAAACGTTTTGGGGTGGCGTCAAGATCCAGGTCCACCTGTGGGTGAGAGGGTGTTGTGTTACAGGAATGTCATGTGTCACCCACGACCTGTCACTACCAGAACCACTAAGTAGAGAGAAGGGTTGGATCTTTATGAGAGCTGTATTCAGACGGCCAGTGATCTGAGAAGATGGTGGGTTATGTACCCTAAAAAAATAATCTTACATCTCATCTCAAGGCCACCCTTTTTATAAGGAGGGAAAAAGTGTAGGTAGAGTTTGGAATTCAGGGGGAAAAGGTTAATCAGATGGTGATTCTTTTATAGATAGATGATAGATAGATGATAGATAGATAGATAGATAGATAGATAGATATTATTGATTTCAGAGAGGAAGGGAGAGGGAGAGAGAGAGAAACATCAATGATGAGAGATAATCATTGATCAGCTGCCTCCTACACGCCCCCTACTGGGGATCGGGCCTGCAACCTGGGCATGTGCCCTGACCAGAAATTGAACCGTGACCTCCTAGTTCATAGGTTGGCACTCGACCTCTGAGCCACATCAGCCGGGCTAGATGGTGATCTTCATCCGCACTCTGGGCAGGGACACTCTCTCCCTGGAGCACATGGCTCCGATACCGTCTTGGTCGCCGCTTGCAGCCCTCCTGGGGCACGAAGGTTGGATTGCTTGCGGGTCTCCTGAAATCAGGGCAGGTCCAGTCATACACTCCAGGCCCCGGAGCAATAGCTTCTACACACACCAGTTACCAAGCCCAGTGACTCTATAACTAAAACGAAAAACATTTAACTTCTTGAGTTCCCCATCAGGCAGGGGGTTGGACTGGAGGCTAGGGACCCCAAGAGGGGGCTCTGGAGCCCAGGAGATTCACATCCTAGATCTAAGCAAGTCTAACAAATCCAGACCTCGGGTGCCTCATCTGTGATATGATTTGGGGACAACAAGAGGCCTGGCTGAGCCACTGGTGCTGGGGATTCAAGAGGAGTGAGTGTCAGGCACTCGCACAGTAGCTGGTCCATGGAGCGCTCTCTCTAGATGGCACTTGTGGCTTTTGTTGGAATTATGATGATGAGTGTTAATAATCATTAGAAGTCTCGAGTGCTGTTAGGAAGATCCAGCCTCAGCTTCGGCCCCAGGGTCTCAGAGTTGGGCCTGTCCTCTTCCTACCAAGGATACAGAGACCAGGGTGTCCGTTTGCCCAGGACCTTCCTAGGTTTAGCACTGAAAATCCCTCACCCCAGGAATCCCCTCAGTCTCGGGCACAGCAGGACAGTGGCTCACACTGTCACATTGAGGAGTCTCCTTGGGAGGTGGAATATCGCCAAAGTGACCAGAAGGGTTGTGCCAAATCATACCAATGCCTGGGGCTAAGGAGAGGTCAGGGTGGCCGGCCGACCCAGCTCCAGGCATGTGGCCGCTCCATAAAGGGGCATTGTTGGTTCCTGCAGGGAGAGCCAGCCATGCCCAGGCGGGCCTGCACCCAGCTGGGGACGGGGGACAAGGGAAGAAGGCTCCTCAGGACAGTGGCTGGATTGTTCCCACCGAGGAACTGATCTGCCTAGTGCTGGCCCAGTCCGCCAGAAAGAGAGACACATGGAGATCGCCGGCCAGGAGAGGGAGAAAACTGCCCACAGATGGGCAAGATCATGTCCCTCCACCTGACCAGCTCCCCTGGCCAGGCCTCTGCCCTCCACAAGCCCTGGTGGAGCCCCTCCCCCACCACAGCTTTGGAGTTTTCTGCAAAGACATTTCACCTTCTAGGCCTGAGATCTCTCCCCCCTGAGCATCTGCCGGTTCAAGTACAGCCTGGGTGTGTGGGCATGGAAGAGCCTGAGTGCCCAGGGGGGAATGTTTTTAGTTATGCCGATTGGGAAACAGGGCACACGCTGTCCTTGCTGAATGAGGAGGACTTCACCTTCTGCGTGGGGCTGTGATGAGTTCCTGGGAACATTCAGTGCCTGAGTCTATATGCCTCATTTCCTGGGCCCGTCCAAGTGGAGGTGATGGGAGATATTATTTCTTTGCCTTCTGTTGTTCATGAGCCATTTGATGAAAAGGTCATGATTTTTTTTTTTCAGAGAGGAAGGGAGAGGGGGAGAAAGAGATAGAAACATCAGTGATGAGAGAGAATCGTTGACCGGCTGCCTCCTGCATGCATGCCTCCCCACCGGGGATCAAGCCCGCAACCCAGGCATGTGACCTGACCGGGAATGGAACCATGTCCTAGGTCGACGCTCAACCACTGAGCTACACCAGCCAGGCAAACAGGTCATGAGTGTTGCAGTAAGGGGTGTGCGGTGTGCTGGCTCACTCGCGGTTCTCATAGTAGCCATAGTAGCGATAGCAACAGGTCCCAGCTGTGTTACCCATGGTTACCCATGGTTACTAAGTTTACCGAAGGTACTGATGCGGTGTCATTTTATCTTTCAATGACCCTATGGCACAGGTATTGTCATCTTCCATTTAACAGATGACAATGAGGGGAGGGGAGGGTAAGTGAATTCCCTGAGGTTTCACAGCTTATAAAGCCAGCGTGGCATTTGAACCCAGGTCTCTCTGACTGTGGAAGCCATAACCACTCAGGTGACCGCCCTCAGTGAGGTATACAGGCTGGGGGGAAAGTAAGTTTAAAGTTGTGTGAATACTCGAAACACCAAGTTTATTTTTGTGTTATTATTTATGAATTATTGTATTATTTTCCATACGAACAACTGTAAACCTACGTTCGCCCTGCCCTCTGTGACCAGGGTCCAGTGGAACACACTGTCCTATGTGAGGAGCTATTCGAAGCCTGGACTGCAGTGGTTCTTTCCTTCATTTTGCAAGTTCTAATCAACCACCCTATTTGTGCCAGGACTGTTCTGGTTACATGTTCTAACCCTTGGGCGACTGGTCACTAACCATGTTGACCATGGCACTAAGCTGAGTCTGATTCTGCCCTTCCAGCTCTGCGGGGCATAAAGAAACTCCTTCTGGAACCGCATAGGGTCCTACGCCCATGGCTTCGCCAATGCAAGTACCCCTCTCCTCAGTGCACCCCACCTCTGCCACCCCAAAGGACATCTCAAAGCTGCCCCCCTCTGCTCAAATGCTTCTTCCCATCCCGCCTCCTTCCCCTGCCCTCCCCGCCCCAGTAACCCCATGGGATCGCTCCCCCACAGCTCTGTTGTGACGCTTCCCACCTCTGCTCTGTCTTACCATCAGCTGAGCACTGCTCTTCAACAGAGACGCTGGGCCTCTTGCCCCCAAGCCCTTGCCCATGCTGGCCACAGAGTAATGAGTCAATACATGCGCTCTGAATCGGCCTAAAAATCCTCCTACGGGGAGCGGTATGGGAGCCATCGGTTCAGTGGACATTTATTAAACCGCGTGCCAGACCGGCTGGACCCGTCTCTGCCCCCACAAAGAGACAGCCTCTCGGGGCCAGCAGTGAACACTGAGGTCATCGCCATTCGGAAAGGCTGGGATGGGGAAGGATGGGGCTGCGGAGCCTCCAGACAGAGCCCCTGGCTTGGTCTCTGAGGGACCCGGGCACAATTCTCAGAAGTGACACAATTCTTTTTTTAAAAAAGTGACACAAATCAAGGCCTGAAAGGAGGGAGACGGCTGTTCCAAGCAGAGGAGCAGCGCTGCGAACTCTGGGAGGGTTCAAAGCAGCAGGAGCGCTGGACACACTTGCCTGTCCTCCCAGCCACGCAGATGTACAGCCAGGGGCCCACGCAAGGGTCTTCACGCAGAAAGTTCCCCTCCAAGATTACCTGGAGGGGAATTGGGGTGCAGATGGGCACACGGTGTTTTATTCTGTCACGGGGAAGGGAGCTTGGGGTTCGGAATTGGACGTGACTTTGAGTCCCAGCTCAGCCACTTACTGGCTATGCGACCTCGAACCAGCCATGTCTCCTTCCTGAGGCTCGGTCTCCTCGTCGGTAAAACAGGGAGAATGATCGCTTTCTCAGCGTCACTGGCTGCTCAGCTGTCCTCTGCCATCATCCATGAGCACCATTCCTGGGAAAGTCGGCTCCTTTCATTTTTATTTTTTTTAATATATTTTTATTGATTTCAGAGAAGAAGGGAGAGGGAGAGAGAGAGAAACATCAGTGATGAGAGAGAATCATTGATCAGCTGCCTCCTGCACACCCCACACCGGGATGGAGCCCGAAACCCAGGCCTGTGGCCTGACAGGGAATCGAACCATGATCAGTATTTGCTCCTTTACAGACAAGGAAGCCAGAAGCCAGAGAGGTTGTCTGGTTCAGGGCCACGCGGCTGGCACACGGCAGCGCTGGGACAGTGACCAGGCCACGGCCCCTCTGGCGGCTTCTCTGCTTGTGCTTTTTCTCTCTTCATCTGGAGGACAAGTTCCTCTGCCCTCTTGTCCCCCATCAGTGACCCCGCCCCGCTGACCTCTTCCCGGGGGGCGGGGGTCCGACATTGGTCCTTCTCCCTCCAGACCCGTTCTTCGGCCAGCGTTACATCCACATCCTGGGCCGGCAGAAGCTCTACCACGTGGTCAAGTACACGGGCGGCTCGGCGGAGCTGCTGTTCTTCGTGGAAGGCCTACGGTTCCCCGACGAGGGCTTCCCAGGCCTGGTCTCCATCCACGTCAGCCTGCTGGAGTATATGAGCGAGGTGAGGGCTCCAGGCCTCCCTCATGCAGGGCTGGCCCTGGGCGCCAGGCGGGGCTCCTTCCAGAGGGCCAAGCCCAGGATCCCCTGTGACCCCCTCCCTCCGCTCTCCCTCACTCTGCTCCACTCCCCTCAAGGCACCAAGGGGGAGTCCAGGCTTGGAGACCTAGATGCCCCCACCATTCACGTTCCGGTGAGGCTGGGTCCAGCTTACATTGACCAGAACAGGCTCTGGAGTCAGACTGCCCAGGTTCAGGCCCATGAGACCCCTGGCAGGTGAACGGACTCCCTGGGCCTTGGTTTCCGACAAAAGCTCCTACTTCCTGGGATGGCTCTGAGCATTGGAACTTGTAAGAACTCATTCACAAGCACCCTCAGGTCCGCGGGGAAAGGGAAGGCAGAAAAGGCACAGCTCACAGCACGGTGGGGGGGGGCCTGGCCGCCAGGGTCTCAGACTGGCCCCTCCAGTGGGCACCGCAGAGACTCAAAGGGCAGCCTGGGCGGGACCCTGTGGGCCGGCTCCTGGGAGAGAACGTTGGTGGGGCAAGATCAGAACGTGGTCAGGAGTGTGCGCTCAGCTGTCAGACAACCTGGGTTTAAAGCCAGCCTCTACCACTTACTAACCACGTGCCCTTGGGCAGCTACCTAAGAGGTCTGTGACTCCGAGGTCTGTGACTCAGTTTCCCCATCTGTAAAACAAGGCTTACAGTGTATCTCCCCACTGGGGTAAGGCAGAAATGAGTCGGTGCGTGTAAAACCACCACGGGGCCTGGCACACAGTAAGTGCTCAATAAATGTACTATTGTTATCAGCGTCCCCCACTTGGGAAGGCAGGAGTGACAAGCACCCCTCCCCTTCTCTCCCACACCCAGGACATTCCGCTGACACCCATCTTCACGGACACCGTGGTGTTCCGGATTGCTCCGTGGATCATGACCCCCAACATCCTGCCTCCCGTGTCCGTGTATGTGTGCTGGTAAGCAGTGGCCCTGGTGCAGACGGGCAGTGTGGCGGAGTGGTTATCGCCGGGGCTTCGGGGCAGAGACACCCGGGTTCAGATATGTGACCCTGCAAAACTCACTTGGCCTCTCTGAGCCTCCATTTCTCGGAAATGCTAACGTCACAGAATCTCTGAGGATTAAATGAGACGGAGCAAAGTATCCATCCAAGGTCCTGGCACAGAGTTCTCGCTCTAAAAATAACAGTTACCGTTTCTTTTCTTACTCTTGGCCCATACTGTGAAGTTGGGAACCTCCTATGCAAGGGATATTCATCTCATTCATTCAGCAGTGTTTTTATTGAGCACCTACTATGTGCTAGACAGCCGCAGCGAGATGAGAAGCAGGGGAGCGAAGTGCCTGCAGGTGGGTGCTGGCCACACCAAGGACCTGAGGTCCGGGCCCATCCCCTGCCTCCGTGCTAAGCAGAACTCCGCCTCAGAATCCGGGGGAGTCAGAGACAAGGCTTTGGGGCAGGTGGGGGTGAGAGTCCCCCTCCTTGTTTTATTCGTTCGTGACCTTGGCAAACACCGCGTGTGGGTGTTTGCTTGGCCCTTGAGTCCAGCGGCCTGTGCAAAGGTGACTGAACACAGATGTGGCCTCACCTGCCTGGCACAGCCTCCAGGTGCCAGCTGCTCTTGCCACCTCAGTGACCTGGCCCTCGTCCCTCCTCACCCTTTCTCCTGGCCTTCCCCTGTCCCTAACCTTCTCAGCATGAAGGACAATTACCTGTTCCTGAAAGAGGTGAAGAACCTGGTCGAGAAAACCAACTGCGAGCTGAAGGTCTGCTTCCAGTACATAAACCGGGGCGACCGCTGGATCCAGGTGAGGAGCCGAGCTGGGGAGGGCGTGGCCCAGGGCTCAGGCAGGAAGAGTTGGCTTAACGTCAACATCCTGGCACCCCGCCGTGTGGGAATTCTGCCATCAGCTCACACATGCACGCGTACTCAGAGACATACATGTAGAAGGCAGTTCACTGCAGCCTAGGCAGCAAAAGCCTGTAAAACACCCCAAATGTCCCTCCACGGGGGACGGGGAGGCACACATATGACAGGACAGCCTTCCCGTGGAGGACTTTACAGCAGCGAGGAAGAAGCCAACTGTAAATACAGAATGAGCTCCAAGCTAAGGTGTTCCCTGCAGGAGGATGTATACAGGATGTTGCCAGTGGCTTTTATAAAACGGGGTTGATATGAACAAACACATGCTTGGGATGCCCAGAGCCCGTCCGTGGAAGGATGCGTAGGAACTGTCACTTGCGGTCAGGAAGAGGGTTGGGGGTGCTGGCTGGTACTCACTGGTGGTGCTCTGACTCATCTGATGGCTCCCCGTGGTGTCCCCGCAGGATGAAATCGAGTTTGGCTACATCGAGGCCCCCCACAAAGGCTTCCCCGTGGTGCTGGACTCCCCCCGAGACGGAAACCTGAAGGAGTTCCCAGTGAAGCAGCTCCTGGTGAGATGCTGAGGGCCACCCTGGGACAGGGTGGGGCGCAGTCCTGGGGACTCTGACAGGACGGAGTGGTCAGGAGACCTTGGGCACCCTTGACAAATTAGTCTGTTGCCCAGAGCCTCCGTTTTCCCACCTGCGAAATGGGTCAGTTGGAACAGTGATCTCTAAGGGGCTTTCCTGCTCGGATAACTGATGCATTTCCAACAAATGGAGAGCTTTCTGTTAGATGAGAAATAGGAACTGTGTGTCACAAAGACAGGCCAGGGGCCCTGACTTCTGCCACTGCCCCAACTTACAGCGAAATAGGTTTCCAAGAGGAAAATTATAGTTAAGCAACTGTCAAAAATCCTGGTTCCAACCTCACAGCTCACTAAAGCTGTGGTTTTCTGTGCATGTGTGTTTTTTGTTTTTTTAATGTTTTCATTTATTTTTAGAGAGAGAGGAAGGGAGAGGGATAGAGAAATAGAAACATCAATGAGAGAAACATCATTGATCGGCTGTCTCCTGCATACCCCTCACTGGGGATCAAGCCCACAACCCGGGCACGTGCCCTGACCGAGAATTGAACTTTTGGTTCATGGTTCAACGCTCAACCACTGAGCCACACCGGTCCGGCTGCATTTGTTATTTTTTAAGCAATCTGACCCCCCCCCCCCATTTCCACTGCCCTTTAAGGCCCTCCCCAAGACATCAGGGCTACTCAGAGGCAACCCCTTGTGAACCTTCACTCACAAATCCCCCTCATCACGGGAGATGGGGAAGCCCCTGGTGTGAGCGCAAAGCTCTGGAATGTCAGGCAGACTGGCCGTGAGTCCCGCAGCAGTGTGGCCTCGGGCAAGCAACTCAATCACTTTAGGAGTGGCCTGAAGCCTCAGCTTGCTCATCTGTAAAATGGGGATGGAAACCGTATCCATCTCACAGGCTCGTTGTGAAGATCAAAGGCATTCTCTGAGGCATCCTGCTGCACCTGATAACACTGCCCATCACTAGCTGTCATCATGTTTGTCGTTCCACAGCCCTGGATACTGTCCTCAGTGAGGACTGTCCATTCCCTCTAGCACTGGGAGGGGCAGAGTCAAACCAGCCCGCCGCAGGCCTGAGAACCGAGGCCTCCCAGACCCTCCTCTCACGGTCCCTGCGTCACCACCTGCCTTCAGCGTTAGCTGCCTGCCTCCACAGCCCTGGGCTGCATTGTTCCCGGAGGCCTGTGCCAAGCCCGGCTCTGTGCCGAGTGCCTGCCCGCCTGTGTGACGCTGTAAAGCCCCAGCTGCCCCAGCCTCCGGCAAACCGCACCTTGCCATCTGGGCTCCCAGGCGAGAAAGCGCTAAGCTTCAGCCATCCATCCCACCCGCCACAGCTGTCCCCGGAGCCTCTCAGCTGGGCCGGGATAAGCCACACATCTTCCCGGTTCACTTTTCTTATTACAAGGATTTTTGTCAGACAAGCTTCATCCCAGCCCCAGTGCAAGTTCCCAAGCAAGACCCCTACTTTTTTTTTTTAACCCAAAAAATCATAAAAGGAACCGTAAAATTCAGGTGGTCACCAAGGTTATATCAGCTGGGGACCACTGGGGTTATGCCAATTCCAGAGCTCTGTGCTAAGAAGGATTCTGAGGCAACATCTGGGCTCAGTGAACAAATATGGTTGTTTGGGGATAGGTTGGAATGTCATGGGTCACCTATCTGCCATTCCTGCTTGTATCAGTCAGCTTTCACTAGGTAAGGCTGCAGTAACAAACAACCCCCAAATCTCAATGCTTGACAACAGCAAAGGCCCATGTCCTGCTTACACTCGTGTTGGTTGCTGGTTGGTTGTCTGCAGCTCTGCTTCCCTGTTCCTTCCTCATTCTAGAGCCCAGGCTGCAGGAGCAGCCCAAGTCTGAGTAATGCTGTTCTTCTAGCATGAGGATGGGAGAGAGTTGACAGGCATACGCAGTGGATCTTATGGCTTTGGCTCTGAACTGGCATGCAGCACTTCTGCTCACATTTCATTGGCCAGAACAAGTCATATGACTAAGTCTGATACTGGGCAGGGAAGTAAAGTCCTTCTACAGGGAGAAACCGGAAGTCACACGGCAATAGCTCAGGATGCAAAAGCCTCTTACTAAGAAGGGGGGAGCAAGTCTCTGGGAGCAATAAAACAATCTACCGCCGTGTCGCAGGTCACCTGATCCAGCCCCTCTTTGACAGATGGGGAAACTGAGGGTCGGAGAACTGAAGAGATGAGCAGGGACATCCATAGCACAAAATGAGGACTAATCCTGAAATCACTGATGTACCTCTGTGTTTGGGAAATACTAGTAGAGGCACATGCAGAAACTCAGATACATGCGTGCGCATTCACACACACACACACACACACAAACACACACACTTATATGCTCACGTTCATGCCCACACTCACACCAAGATGCTCACAAACTCAACCTCCCCCCGCCAGGCTCTACTCTCTGGTGGGAATAAGAAGACCGTGGGTGACCCCCGCCCAGAGGCTGCGTGCCCACAATGCCAGACCCAAGGTGGTCAAGGCGTGATCATCAGAAGGTGACTACGTTGGCTGCAGGACACTAATGATGGGTGTGTGCCCCTGCCTAGGGCCCAGATTTCGGCTACGTGGCCCGGGAGCCCCTCTTTGAGCCTGTCACCAGCCTCGATTCCTTTGGGAACCTGGAGGTCAGTCCCCCAGTGACCGTGAATGGCAAGACATACCCCCTGGGCCGGATCCTCATCGGGAGCAGCTTTCCTCTGTAAGAGAAGCCGGGGTGGGGCTGGGGGGCAGGGGGGGAGGTTACTCCGTCTCTTTAGGAGGGGACTGGGTTGCTCATACATGGAGCGAATGACTGAGAGAACTAACCCCTCCCAGGACGCTCTGATGAGATACAGACATTTATGGAAAGAAAACCAAGTTAGCCAGTACATCTCAGCATAAATTAGGATCAAATGTAAAACTAAATAAAAAGCTCTCTTCCCAAAAGGGGAGGCTCTCGTCTATAGTGAGATTATAGACCATGTAGGAAGGGGATGATGGAGTCTGGAGAAGGAATCCTGAAAGAGAGGAGTGGGAGCACCAACCAATCCTTGAGGGGCCATGCACAAAAGAGTCATAAGACGGCATGGCCCTGCCCCAGAGCCCGAGTCCCTGGCTCCATGGCTTGTCCACAACACCCTCCTTCCATCCCCAGATGCCGCCCCCCCACCCACCCTCCAGTCAATGAAAAGGCAGAGCCTCCCTTGGTCAGGGCAGTTGCTGGGGAGGTAGCAAGTACTGTGGGTCCTCACGTCACAAAGGAGCTGCCAGGAACCTGCACACAGGGGACCAGCCAGGATTTGTGCACCAAGCCCCTCAGCCACATGGGATGCCCTACCTTCTTAGTGGAGGCCACTGGCATGTCAGTGACCATTTGCCCGCCTTTCTGTCCTTCTCCCTCCACTCAGTAGCCCTGCTCCATTCAACAGGTATTTCCCAGGCTCCAGCCAAGTGCCAAGCCCTGTGTCAAGCACGAGGCTCCAAACAGGAAGCCCAGCCCTTGCCTTCAAGGAACTGGTTGAACAGGCATGAAACAAGGGGGTGTACGGTGATATAACGGATGTTAGGGAGCCCGAGGAGCCCAAGGAGGGGGTCTCTGACCCCCATGGGGAGTTCAGAGAGGGCTTGTAGAGACAAATATTTATTGAGAGCCTTCTCAGTGACCAGGCATTATTCTAGGCCCGTGGTCGGCAAACTGCGGCTCGCGAGCCACATGTAGCTCTTTGGCCCCTTGAGTGTGGCTCTTCCACAAAATACCAGCTCTTCCGCAAAATACCGACTTCTGCGCATGGGCCACGAAGTTTCAATCGCACTGTACATACGTGCCCACACGTGGTATTTT